GAACAGAAATAATTACAGCCTCACGAATGAAGTCTGTTTGTCACACATCCACTGACGGACCATTCCAAAGTTTAATTAAAGCAATATGTTGTGGTGATGAGTCAGAGTAATGAAAACTTCGCTTTAAAATGTAATGGGCTAATGTTAAATTCAAAATATCCGTTCCTGGGTGCTTCACCGGATGGAATAATTTCATGTGATTGTTGTGGGGAGTTATGTTTGCAAATTAAATACCCCTTCTGTAAAAAAGGATTTAGAACTTGCTGAGTCATCAGATAATAGGTTTTGTTTAGAAATGCATAATGGTAAAATGAGATAAAAAAAATTCACCAGTGTTACTATCAGGTCTAGTGTCAACTTATAGAATGTAAACATGAATTTTGTGACTTCATGGTGTGGACTGAAGTTGACTTTCATGGAGAAAAAATTGAGACTGACAGAATTTTGTAAAGATATTGTCAAAAAATCCAAGTTATTCTTTTTTACTGAAATTTTACCAGAATTAGTAGGAAAACTGTTTACTAGACCTGATATCAGTGCATCTATAGCAAGCGATTTAAATATATCTGTTGCTTCTGCTTGTAGAGAAGCAGCAGTTTCCAAAACCAGTGATAAAACTTTGATTTTATGCATTTGTCAAACTCGGTATAATACAGAGGAAGATGATGTAATTGGATGTGACAATGACAGTTATCCTTATGTTTGGTTTCATTTTAAATGTGTAAAAATAAATCAAGTACCTAAAAGGGACTGATACTATCCTTCTTGCAGAAAACGTGCTGAAACAAAGAAATCAAAAGTGGAAAAATAAACAAAATATGTGTATTTGAATAAGTATTACTTCTATAATTTATTATCAATTTTCTGCTTCAATAAAATGTTGTCGAACTTTTTTGACAATTTCAACATTTTTAAACATATTTGTGTGGGGCACTAACTTTTTCATTACGTGTTGTGATTGATGCTATATTATATTTCTAGTTATACATTTATATGTTGCAATGCCTATACTAAGAAATGCATATCCAAATTAAATCTTTTATTTGTTTGTTTTTACTAATGTGTGTACATATATATATGAATAAAATAGTTGACAAAGAGAATTTTTATAATAAATGTTGTTCCTCATCTTGCAATCACCATGAACTAAATGAGTTTGTAATTAACAGAATGAACTGTTTGTATGGATTTGTATGTTTTACAATAATACTTGAAATTTTTATGCTTAACTGGTAATACAACTTTCACAAAATTTTCAATTATACCTAGTGGCCCGCTAATTTTATAGAAAAACTGGATGTTGAACAGAAAGCCCTTAATCATTGGCAAGTAAATTGTAGACTTTCTCAAACAAATAAAAGTTTATTTGTTATTTGAACAATCACAATGTTACAAGATAAAGAAAGTATTCATGGTTAGTCGCACTGTGTCAGTAATAACTAAATGAAAACAATATTAAACTTGTTTAAAACATATATCTAATCAATAGGTAGAATACATTCACAGACTGAAACAATATTATCTATTAAAGAATCTTGGTCATCCTCACTTCGTAAGAAGTCAATTGGTAGAGTGTCTTGCAATATCGTATATTTATTTGGCACTAGTCCAATAACCATTTCAACATGAATTCTTACATGTGCTATTTTTCTGGTTGATTCTACATCTAGCAGAGACAAATGTTTTTTTCCTTTGGTAAATGCTGTAATTTTTACTTCTGCGTACATCAGTCCCACGCTTTCAATATCAAAACTCCTATCTACCAGTACAACACCATCTGGTGAAAGTTAGGACAAAAGATCGCAGTTTTCTGTTATTTTTTGTCACTTGATCTTCCACCTCAAGCACTAGACAGAAATGATACAGCTCCTTGTGGCGTAATACCGATAAGAAACTTAACAGTGTTGAGGTGCTTATAGTTTGACCACGTCTCAGCTCTAGCTAACAGGTTTGAAAGCCTTTCAATTAAATTTTATAACAATCTATAATAACTGCCACCTTCAAAACCAAAACTATTTCAGGATTTCATGAGCATAGTATGTTGTAATTGTTCTCTATCTGGCCAATATATAAATCCTTTCATTCGTCCATGCATTATATTGTTAAATGTTCTAGAAACAGTTGATTTCGAAACATTAATATGGTATTCCAAATCCAGAACTAGTAAATTTAACCTAATTTTCATTAACACAAGGATTAATTTCTCAAATTTTATCAACGAGCTTCTATCAGTTTCTAGTAAGAATGGTTCAAGCAGTTGAAATAATTGCATAAGAGTTGAATGTCCAGGCAGACCTGTAAGGTGTTTAACTTTTTCTTTTCTCCTTTTAATGTCTCTGGAGTAAATTTTGTCTAGGATAATTTTTTAAGGTCCATGTTTTCACTCATAAGTCTTTGAAATTCATTTCTCATTTTCCCCACCATTTTCAGATCTTCACCATAATTTAACTGACGATTGTTTGTTTGTTTGTTATGGATTTCGCGCAAAGCTACACGAGGGCTATCTGCGCTAGCCTTCCCTAATTTAGCAGTGTAAGACTAGAGGAAAGGCAGCTAGTTATCACCA